ATTTGCCTTCAGTGTTTAAATCAATATACATTTTCATCCAAAACTCTGTCAGATAGAAGCATTGGCCACATAGTATGTTGATTTGTCAGGTCTGTGTAATTTGATATTTTCTGCTGGTGTTTTCATTCTGGTTCACCATGATGTGAAAAAACAGCTTGTTTGGATGTTTTCAGGATTAAATCTGCAGAGTGTGATAGTAAAATCATTTACGTTCATTTTTATATACATTTAGCATTTTAAGAATTGGGGAAATTAACAACAAGGTATTAACTACAGTAAAACTCCAATAATCTGGCATCCAGTTGTCCGGCACTCCTGATAGTCCAGCATCAACTGGAACCCAGAACTGCTCAGGTCAGCTGCTCTCACGGCCGGGCCGCTATGAGCCGCATGCGAGCTCACGGCCTGCGCCGTTCTGCTCACGGTCCCCAGTACACACAGCGTCCAGCCTGCACGTGCTAGCAGCCAGCTGCTGACCATAGGCAGCTGCTTCGGGACCTGGACATAAAGTTGGGGGGAAAAGGGGATTGGGTGACAGCAGGGAGGAAAGGTGTTTGGCTCTGGGGAAGGGAAGGATTGGAGAGGGAGATTGAGTCACGCACGGCGTCCCGACCAGCTCATTGAAAAGCTGGCTGCTCAGCACACGGGCCCCAGTGCCTGGAGGGAGACGTGCGGCTGTACCAGCGGCTCCGGGACCCGAGCATAAGTGGGGGAGGGGGATTGGGTTGGGAATATGCCCCGTTATAGTATCTCCTGGTCTTCCGGCATATCCAACAATCCGGCACCACCTAGGTCCCAAAGGTGCTGGATTATCGGAAGTCTACTGTATATGACTTTCTGTTCTGCCAAAGCTAATATCAAATCTGCTCATGACATTAAAATAAGCACCACGTAGATCTTATTGCCCATGATTTTGGTTTATGAACTCCAAATATGCCTTTTTCATACGGTGTAGGTTAGGAGCTCTGAGCACAGGATAGTGCCTGGTCTTTCATCTCTGGAGACTTCACTACAAATCTTGATTTGGCTGAGAAAAAGGAAAAAAAAGAAAAAGCAATTAGTTATTACCCCATTTCTTATTTGCCCACATATTTAAAACACCAAATAATTTGGCACAGCCAATAGTCTGGCCCAAGTTTAGCTAGGGTGTGATCACTGGGATGTGTCTACTACTTCTGATCATAGCCACTAATGTGTGTAGGTAATTTGCTCATTCTTGTTCCATGCTGTTCCTGGTTCTAGAGAGCACATCTCTCGCTGGCAGAAATACTCAGGCAGAACTGAGTTTTTTTAAGTGTTAGACATGTTGATTTAAGCCCTAAAAGAATTTGCCAAATTTATTCCCAAGCATGTATTTGTATTGAGAAATGGGACCATTGAATATGACATAAAATGGATTGTGGTTTTGCTTGTTAAATGCAATCCTTTACCACTTGCACACACAGTTTTTCTCACAGAACTATCTTTGGCAGATCCACAAGCTGTGCCCCTTAAAGCACCTATCCCACCATGCCAACTATTGCTACTGGGATGAAAGAACTATTGTATGTTCTTCAGGGAGTGTTCCTATGGGCGTTCCACTTAAGATATCTTAAGATATCTCCAAAGCCCCTCCCTCCACTGTGCTGTACTAAGATTCTTTGAGATAATTGTCCCTGTGGATGCTCCACTAACCCCCTCCTCCTCTCTGCTCCTCTGAGGCAAATAAGGAACTGAGGGCTGCACATGTGAGGTAGCAGCTAACAACGACATGATATGGCTGCCGCACATGCGCAGCCAACCAGGGCACTACTACTACCAATATTTGATTAGGTGTCACCTTGCGCTTCTAAAGTGGAGCACCCACAGGGACAACCTTCTTGAAGAAGCTCAGTTACTTCACAAAGTGAGTAACTTTCTCTTTTCAAATTCTGTGTGCTACACTGGAGAATGGAGTTAAGAGGACCAATTGAAACTGCTGAAACTACAGTGCTTGGGACTCCCATTCATGCTGGGGTAAAAGTCATTGTATCTCAGATCAGATCAGTCAGACCTCAGCTAAAGACAGTGCTCAGGTGCTACAGCCAAACTGCATAATTAATGCTTGGGAATTCCTGGTACAGCTGCTATGTATGAGCACAACACTATGTACAAACATGGTAAACTTAGGGTGACCCAAAAAATGGTAGCCTAAGACCTGATCCAAAGCCCACGGAAATCAGTGGGAGTCTTTCCATTGTCTTTAGTGATGTTTGAATAAGTCATCTTAGAAAGGGACCGCAATTTTAAAAAAAAGTCACTAGCATTAAAATAGTCCATGTTTTAATGTGCCAGTTTTTAACTGCCTTCACACTTGAGTCACAAATTAACTGGAAGTCAATTTATTGTACCTAGTAGGGTAGTTATTTTAAATATGGAGTCCTAGTTTGAATACTAAATGAATCCTGAACATCAACCAGTGTTCAGTTACAATACATTTTCTTTAAACCAGTGTAAATGACACTGTCTTAAATATTAAATTGTATAGTGGGAATAGTTACTTGAAAAGTTGAAGTAAAGTGATTGAAGACAGTAGGAAATGAACACAAATAATAAAAAAGAGATATCGTTGCAAGCACAAAGCACAGCTAATTCAGCAAAATCATGATGAAGGGTTCAAGAACAAAACGTCTGCCTTGGATTGTCTCTTCTTGTTGAGAATACCCTTTGAACATGCTGAAATGGATAATCTCGCCAATCCTCAGCATGTACAGATGTTTCCTTGTTATAGTCCGCCAGCCATGTGAACTCAACATTTGGTATCAGTCTAACATTTATTTACATTGCTAGATTTGTATAAATTATGTTGTGGAATTTATTTCAAATGTGCAGACACAAAAATGCACTCGACACACAGACATCTGCCAGCTTGCTGACTTTATTTGAGCACATTTTTCAGTCATTTTCAGCTTTACAACTTTATTTGAAAGGATTATTTTCCTAATGATTTCCTCCGCTGCTCTTTTTCTTTTAGAAATGTTTTAGAAAAAAAAACACACACACACAGACCCCAAGCAAAACAAAACAATAAAAGAGAGATACCAGTTGATCTCTTGTGTCACTCTTAAATAATCTATAGGAAGTTTCAAAGTTGCCACTTTCAGGATAAGTTTCTTTTAGCTGTTGTAAGTGCACACACACACTGGTTTGTCGTATGGTTGATCATGATTCTTGGGTTACCCATACTGATTTGTTGCAGGGTTACTTGTGACTGTTGGCCATGACAGTCTACTCTTTATTGCAGATCTGCCAATAAGTTCTAAGGTTTGCATACTTGGGTGTTGAAGGCATGATCATGAGCACTGGGCTACAGAGGACCCAGTACCAACACAAGTGAGCCTGTCCATGCTGCACACAAGTACAGTTGCTGTCATAGAACTGACACCTTATGCATATGGCGCTGCACCAGTCAGCACCGGCTGACCCTTCAGTATTGCCACTGCTCACAACGCAGTATATTCTGGCTCCTTCTACTTCGGCACCACAGTTTATTCACTCTTGTGATTTGCTAGTCTTGCTAGCCCCAGTTTGCCCATTTCTCGGTACCAGTCTCTCACCAGAACCATTGGCACGGCATCAACAGCAATCCCATGTACCCGCCCACTTTTCCAGTGATGAGGAAGACAAAGTAGAGAGAGGTTTTTTTCACTGCACCATTTCTTCCCTCTTCTGACTCCTGCTAGCATGGGAACAAGGACAGCAGGATCCTTGTATTCCAGGGGCTTAACACCCTGGTATGTGCACCCATGGATGGGACCTCTCTTACTGGAACCCATGGGGGGTCTTTGAGCAAGCACCAAAGAAACTAGCACAGCCCACGAAACGCTGATACCAAGCCTCATCCTGAAGCTATGCATTCTTCTGTGATGACTGCACAGGAGCAATCTACAACGGTGAATGCAGGATAGGGGGCATCTGACACCTCTCCTAATAATAATAATTCATCCTTCTTACTGGATGAAGCTATTATGCTCCTCC